TCTCCTCCATTCTCCTCTCAGGATCTTGGGAATGCACGCACGCGTGCCCGGCATGAGTTTAAGCCACCAGGTCTGGGACTTGAACCGCGGTCGACTACATGGGACTCCAGCGACATAGCCACTACGCTAACTGCTGGTCCCAGTTTTCGTTTATTATTTTTGTTTTTATTTAAGGATACTTCGGGGCCAGCAGGTGGCTAAGGTGCTGGATCACACGTGGCCAAGCCCGTGGCTTCTGGCGAGCCCCTGTGCAGCTGTGCCCTGCTCACGAGGCCGTCCCCGCTACACTCCGTAAGAGCAGCCCCCTGCCTGCAGGACTTCCACCCTCACGCTGCCTTTTCTCTCTTTCTTCCCCAGAGCACTGATCGCCATGTCCCTCTCCCTAGCTACCTGTTTGACTGCGTCATCCCTCCCTCACTAAAGCGTGAACTCCACGGTCAGGGGACGTTTTGTTTTCATCCCGTCCGCAGCACTGGGACAGTGTTCAGCTCACGGAGGCAGCTGACCAGTGAACTTAAAACTCCTTTGAAGGCCCAGAGTAAGAAAAAACAAAACCTGGTACTGGTCAGGTGGAAATATATCTTCCTTCAGGAGAGAACTAGAGATTTCCGGGCGACATTTCCAGGCCCAGGACTCAGTTCCTTCCTCGGCTCACAGGCAGGTCTCTGGGTCTGCCTCCTGCCACTGGCCCTTCCTGACCATGTGCCCTTGGGGGAGAATTACTATTACCTGCGCCTCAGGTTCCTCCTTTGCAAAATGAGGAGGACCTTCCTAGCAGCCAAGCCACTCGCAGGCCTCGCCGGGAGGGGACAGCACACGGGTGTGCACGGCAGAGCACACGGCCAGTGCGCGGCGCTCACCTGCACATCTTGGTGGTGGAGTTAAACAGCTTCACCTTGTAGCCGCTGTTGCAGATGAGCAGGAAGAGCTCCTTGGTGAGCGGGGGGTACCAGACCATCCAGGTGGGGTAGTTGCCCTGGTCGGTCCAGTGGATGTCCAGGACCTCCAGGTGGTCTCTGTAGCTCTTGCGAAGGTTGTACTCGATCTGCAGAGGAGCCCAGATGGCGACCCGTGAGGGCTCGGCCCGGTGAGAGCTCAGCTAAGGCGCCTCGGGCTCTCGGGTGACCAGGAGGCTCTGAGCCAACAGTCCCACCCTGGGGGAGACGGTGTCAGGGCTCCCAAGAGGGGGCCTGCCAACGCCACCCACCAAGGAGTGAGAGAATCAACTCAGCGCTCTAAAAACATCATACCCAGGCCAGCAGGCGGCGTGGTGGTGCTGGGGAACTGGATCACACGTGGCCAACCCCACGGTTCAAGTCCTTGACTCGGCAGCTTGGAAAACGTGGCAGGTGCATGTGTGTGCATGGCCAAAATTCAGAAAGGAAAATGGAAGTGGGGATGGTGGTGCAGCCATCCCCCTTGGGGGGTGACTTAGGAGTGTGAGAGTGTGTGTGTGTGCGTGTGAGTGTGTAAGTGTGCGTGAGTGTGTGCGAGACCTTGTGTGGCGATCCTCCTAAACCAGCCAATGGGAGCAGGGACTCCGGGTGAGTACCCTCTCTCCTGCCTTAGTGTTTTGGAGCAAGTTGGGAACCCAACCCCGGCCTCTGGTGTGACCTGTGCGTGCGAGGCGGCAGTGCCCAGCGTGCACCACGGTGGCTGGAGCGCGTCACACCACGGGACGCTCCCAACGCCCTGCAAAGTGGTGCTGGCGTGCCCACGTTACCGATGAGAAAGCAGGTGTTCCGAGGTGCCCAGGGTGAGAGACTGAGAATTCACATTTAGGGTTGACAGAGCCCACGGCCTGGCCCTACGGCTCCCTTACTCGGAGTGCCCACTCTCACGCTCTCCTGGGCAGGGACTAACTCACTTCTGAGGCTCAGCCCTGACAGTCGCAGGGCAGCAGCCTGCTGAGCTCGGCCTGCAGGGAGGTTTCAGAGGGAGACAAGACGGGCGGATGGAGTAAAAGAAGGAAGGAAGGAGAAGGAAGGAGGAAGGAAGGGAGGGAGGAGGAAGGAGCGATCATATGTCAATTGTGTTTTTGCCAGAAGGCACCTGCACTGCTGGGGAGACAGGAAGGGACGAGGCGCTTCCCCTGGGGCGAGGCCACACCGTCACCTCCGCCACTGTGCCTCCAGGACTTTGGGGCACACACAGGCACCCCAGTCCAACCAGGTCTGGGATTCGTACCCTGAGGTTGGTCATGAGGGATCCAGCTGCCTTCACCACCACGCCACCTGCTGGTCCATTCTATTTTAATCCTTTCGGCTTGACACTGCGATCTTGCCTTCGCCACTGTCCCTAGCCCCCCTCCTACCTCACATCCTCCGTGAAGTGCAGGTTTAGCACCAGCCTGGCCTCGAGCCCTGGACACAGAGCGACTGTCAGTGCACGTCAGCCGCCCACGGGCGCACGAATGCAGCAATCGTGGCCACACCTGCTGCCACAGGAGACAGCGCCCCCCTCACCGTCCAACTGGCCGCCCCCAGAGGCCTCCCCACGCAAGACTCGCGTCCCCGTGTGGTGTCCCAGCCTGTGATGGTGAGTGCCGACCTGTACACTCATCCTCTCGGCGGCCTGTGGGCCTGGCCCTGTGCGCAGTGCCGGCGAGGAGAACGCCCAGCCCTGGTGCCCGGTAAACGAAACCCTCCAGCTCACCAACAGCCTGTCCCTGCCGAGGCTCAGCAGTCTGGGCTCATTGCTGTCCAGGTGGACCCCAAACAGGAGGCTCCGGATGCTCTTGCGGTGCGAGCGGAGTCTCGCCAGGTACTCCCAGACCCTGGTTCCCTTCCGGACAAACACCATGTAGACAGCTACGGTGAAGCTGACATCCTGCGGAGAAGCGAGACCCAGAAATGGTTTCTTTCCTTTTCCCCCCTTTCCTTCTTTCCGTCTTCCTTTCTTCTTTTTGCCGTAAGGCATGTGCGCTCACCAGAGTGAGACAGAGAGGGGGAAGCACCCCGGACGGGGCGTGGTCACACTAACCCTCCATTTCTCCAGCCTGCAGGGTTTGGAGCACGCATGCACACGGGCCGGTGTGTTTTTCAAGCCACCAGGACCGCGGTGTTACC